TTGCTGGTCTGTAATTCCCGGGGGGTATTTCCCACCTTGCTGATGCCTCCCCTGTGGTCTGTTCCACCCCACAGCCTGGGTGGGCTTCCTTCTGGCCCCCTGGCCTGCTCCTAGCTGCCCTGCCTCTCCCCCTCAGAGGCAGAGGCAAACCCTGAGAAGACCAGGTGTGACCCCAAACAAACAAACCAACAAATGCAACCCTCATGCTACCTGCTCACTCCCGGACTCTAGCTGAGGCCAGAGAGGTGGTCCTCGAGTGACCGGCATGCACCAGGACAAGTGGTTTCCTTTTCCCTTTTCCTGTCGCTTGAAGGTGCTGGTTTCTCGTCTGCTTATTTTAAGGGTTATTCAATGTCAAGTTAGCCTTGTTATTATTATTTTAGAAAAATAATCACAAAGATTCATCTTAGGGCATGTAGAGAGCTTTAGAATATATGTGATTTGTTTTATTACCTAACTAATTGGGCTGGAGCGATAGCACAGCGGGTAGGGCGTTTGCCTTGCAAGAGGCCAACATGGCTGACCCAAGTTCAATTCCTCCGCCCCTCCCCGAGAGCCCGGCAAGCTACCGAGAGTATCTCGCCTGCACGGCAGAGCCTGGCAAGCTCCCCGTGACGTGTTCGATATGCCAAACACAGTCACAACAAGTCTCACAATGGAGGCGTTACTGGGCCCGCTCGAGCAAATTGATGAACAACGGGAGGACAGTGACAGTGACAGTGATTTAACTAATTAACACACATTTATCTTTCTTTAATGAATTGCATGTAGCTTGTATGTACTTAGGGATCATTTGAAGAGGAACATTTCCTTGACATAATAATTTTCCATTAAAGAGGCAATTTCTCATACTAAAAGTATCTCTTATGGTAGCAACGCTTGAGGAAATCAAACATTTCAAGTTTTTGGAGTGAGGCAGGGACAAGGAAGGAGAGAGAGCCCTCAACTGGCGGAGAGCTTCGAGGTTGGGGTTTGACCCACCAAATGCACCCCTCAGCACCGCCAAAAGCAGGTCCCACACGTCAAGCAGGGAGTAGCCTGAGCACCCCTGGTGAGTCCCCCAAACGAGAAATAGGAAAATGGTTAAAAATTACTTTTTTTTTTTTTGCTTTTTGGGTCACACCCGGCAACGCACAGGGGTTACTCCTGGCTCATGCACTCAGGAATTACCCCTGGCAGTGCCTGGGGGACCATATGGGACGCTGGGAATCGAACCCGTGTCAGCCGCGTGCAAGGCAAACGCCCTACCTGCTATGCTATCACTCCAGCCCCCAAAATTAATTACATTTTTTTAAAAAAACTGTCCTGTGGCACTAATAAGAAACGGTTTTGTAGATCCTGTTGCCAAGCGTTTTCTCGACATCTCAGGACTCCGTGCTAGCTAAGCTCTAACTTGTCCTGCTCCAAAAGCAAGCAGAAATTAAATAGAAGACCAATAATAAATCATTTCCCACGTGAAAATGTCCCATAATTTAGAGAGTAAAGACAGAGTGCTGTTGAGCTGGAGAGATAGCACAGCGGGTAGGGCGTTTGCCTTGCACGCGGCCGACCCGGGTTCGGTTCCCAGCATCCCATATGGTCCCCTGAGCACCGCCAGGACTAACTCCTGAGTGCAGAGCCAGGAGTAACCCCTGTGCATCGCCAGGTGTGACCCAAAAAAGAAAAAAAAAAGAGTGCTGTTATATTCTCCCCGAAACCGAAGGCTGCAGGACTTCTTGGAGAGGAGAGAGGAAACGTCTATCTGCAGAAACGTAGGCTGGAGTGAGGAGGCCCATTTCTGCTGGGCTCGCTGGGAAGAGCCCCTGCCAGGTGGTTTGCTCCGGGCCTTCCGCAGGCCTCGGCTCTCCCGGGGCCAGTGCACGACGGGGGCAGTGGCCGGCCAGGGCTGCCGCTGGGAAGGCTGTCAGACCCCGAGGCACACGCAGAAGCTTCGAGGGCGATGGGAGAGATGTTTCTTAGGAGGAGGGCGCATGGCTCTCGTTGGGGCATTTCTTTCCACTCAGGAAACCGCACACACGGGATCTGTTTGACACACAAGTTCGTCTTATCAGGGGAAAGGGCCCGAGAAGAAATCCTCGGCCCTGTGTGGGGAAGGATGGACAGAGGGGCCCTTGGTGGTTCTGAGTGGCAGGGGGCTCTCTCGGGAGGGCTGGCCTCCGGCATCAGGCGAGGGGCTGCTGGCGTCCCCTGAGAAGGGTGAGGGGACGTGGGAAGACCAAGACCTGGACCACTCGAGTTAACTAACGCCTCTGGCAAATTCTAGAAGCTGTGTCAGGCTTCCAGAACATTCCTGGGAGAAGGCAGGTCCTGAAGTCTATCTTTCCTTGTTCCCTCGGCTCTCCAGACAACCAGCTATCAAGCCCTGATTTTAGCCCTTAGGAGTGAATGTTTCTGCAGGGGACACATTGACGCAACTTTGCATGTGGCCCTTCAGGGAGGAGAAACATTCAAACATTCACTTTGTGTCTAGTTGGAGCTGGGCGGGTGTCAGCTCTTGCTTGAACAGAGTCAGAGCAATTGTTCGAAGAAATCACCCCACAGTGACCTGGCACTCGTGAAGGGGACAGGGCTCACCAGGGACTCTGCAGCCAAGGCTGAAATCAGGAGCCAAGCCTGCAGCCAAGAAGTTTCTGCTCTGGGCACCCGCGAACGCTGCTGGAACCAGGGATCTTCCCTCCCTCTTGGGACTCCTGGAGGGCCACGTGCAAAGTTGCTTCCTCCGTTCTTGTACCCGAACCGGCCACCCTCTCACCCCAAATAAGGCCTTCGCCTTTTCACCCCCTTTTTCAGGCCGACATGACTAGTGTTTAAAAGGAAACCCTTGTTTCGCTTCCAACACATCCATTTTACCTCTTGATGCTTTTAGGGAGCACTTTCTGGTCTCACGACGTTGGTGTTAGTTGAACTCACTCACCCCTGGAAACCCGGGGAGCCTCACTGGGGTCACTCTGAGAAATGCCGAGACTGAAGGCAGCGGGACAGCCACAGCTGACGGAGAACAGACGCAGAAACAGGGGTTCAAGCTGGGCTGGAAGAACACGAGTCTGCTGGCCTGGAAACCCGGAAGCCGACGGCAACAGAGGGCCGGGTTCGGACTGGAGTGGGGAGAAGGGGGAGCAGTGAGTTCTACCAGGATGGTGCCGGGTTCCAGATCCCCAACGGGCAGGGCGCATGGTCTGAACGGCGAGAGGTCGGAAAGTCTCTGAGGCGATCAGGGGATCCCTTGGGAAGCCGGTAGTGCTTGGATCCTGCAGGAGGTGGGAAGAGGAGGGCTGAGGGGGCCTGGGAGGGCCCGGGAGGATGGTCTGGAGCCCGCTGGAGTCGGGCCTGGCTCCTGGAAGAATCGAGCGACAGCACGGAGGGCAGAGCCATCTGTACCCGTCCTGTTCCCCGGCTGCCGACGCCCCGGGAGCAGATGTCTGACAAGGCGACAGTTTCCTGCCTGCCTACCTCCTCGGCTGCCGCGTGCCCGCGTGGAAGCAGTGGCCGCCGCTGCAGCCAGCCCCCGGGCCTGTCACCGGGCCACCCGCCCCGTGCCATCTGGGCTGTTCCCGGGGGCCGACCGAGCTCGGGGCCCCGTGGCCGTCTGGTGCTGCCCACATTTTTACCAGGCTCCCTGGCTGCCGGGTGGAGAGAGGGGGCCACGTTCACAGTAGGGACTGCTTGGGGGCGTTGGGTAGCAGAAAACGGGTCGAGAGTAGGGCAGGGAGGGGTGCGGCAGTCAGAGGAGGGGCTGGGTGTGAAGGGAGAAGAGAGCCAGGCTGGGGCCCCCGGGAGGTGCTGAACGCTGGGGCAAGGGAGCAATTGGGGGGTTGGGGGGCTTGGAGGAGAGTGAGCAGGGTCAGACCCCCTGAAGGTTGAGTCTGTGTAAGAGTCGGTGTGAAGTCGGGGATGGGGGTGACCTGGGCATGGACTGGGGAGGGGAAGGAGCCAGCCGAGAACGGGGTACGGTCACGGGTCTTCTGCGGCCTGCAGTTGGGCAGGGGTGGAGAGGTGGAAGTGAGGTGCCGCAGGGAAACTGAGTCAGTCCAGCGCAGGTGGGCTCTGCTGTCCCAGCTTTCACTTTCCAGAGAGGCAGCCCCCCCTCGGACACCAGCACCCCCAGAACACACCCCACAGCACTGCAAGATGCGCCCCACCAAGGGCCCTCAGAGTGGCGCACAGCTGGAGGCTTCTACTCCTCCATTCCCAGTCCTGCAGACCACTGGGCCCCACTGACCCCGCCAGCCAGGCCAGGATACGGTTTGAGTTGGGTGCCCTGCAAGGGCTCAGGAACCCACTGGGGGTCCCCACAGCCCCTCTCCTGGAGGACAGCGGTCATGCCTGCGAGTGCCAAGGACAAGTCGGGTGTGGGCGCAGTCGCACACACACGCTGGGTTCAGGTCCCCCCAAGTTCTTACTGGGACAAGTCAGGCTGAAGGTCCCATCCTCCTCACCGTGGGGGTGCCCAGCTGCCCTGAGTCCTGGCGTTTGGGGGGGCCAGACCCCCAGAGTTGCCTTCTCACCATCAGTGAGTGACGCTGCACCCACAAGAAGGGGCCTGGAGGCCCGGGGAGATGTCCACGCGCCAGGCAGCCGCCCAGCCCTGCTCATCCGCCGCCCTGGCCCAAGCCCTGACGACGTTTCCCACGTACTTAGGGGTGCTCCTGCCCGGGCCTGGAAGGAGGGCGGGTCTCAGGGCCTCTGTCCCCAGGGTCCCCGCACCCACAAGGGCCCCCTCCGTCCGCGGCCGCGCCTCCTGTCCAGAGGGCGCCCGGCGGCGCCGGCGCTTCCTGGTGTCCAGGCCCGCGGCCAGGCCGGGCGTCCGGGGTGCGGGCCCTCCCGGGGCGGGGCGGCGCGGGGCCGGGCCGGGCCGGGTGCGCTGCCCGCGCCGGACACCAGGCGTCGCCCCCGCGCCTCGCGGCCGCCCCCGCCCCGCCAGCCGAGCCCGCAGCGCGCGGAGGCGGCGGGACCGGCCGGTTTCCTGCTCGGCGGCGGCGCTCGGGTCCTGCTGGGCGGCCGCGGGGACGCGGGGACGCGGGGACGGCGGGGACGGCGGGGACGGCGGGCGCCCCCGGGCGCGGCGGGCGGCGCCGGGCGATGCGGAGCCGCCGCGGCGGCGCGATCGGCGCGTCCGGACCGGCCCCCGCGAGGTGAGCGGCGCGCGGGGGGCGCGGGGGACGCGGTGCGCGCGGGGAATGCGGGGGGCGCGGGGGACGCAGCGCGCGGGGAACGCGGGGGAGCGGGGGACGCGGGGCGCCCCCGCGGCGGGGTGAGCGCGGCCGGCGCAGGCCGAGTCGCCCAGGGGCCCCCGCCGCTGCCCGGGGGTCGCTGCGGCCCGCGGAGCCGGCCGGCCCCCCGCGCTCCGGCCCAGGTGCGCCCCGGGTGGGCGTGTGCGCGCCGCCTGGTCCCTGCGGGGGGCCCCCGCGCACGCCCCCGGCCCCGGCAGCCACCCGGGCTGCGCGCAAAGTGAGGACTTGGCGCAACTCCGGGCGCGCGGGTGGGGGGCGCTCTGGGGCGCAGCCCCCTCGGGCCTCCCCGGAGAGGCGGGAGCAGCCCCCCTCCCTCCGGCCTGGGCTGCTGGACAGGCCCGGCACCCCTGTCCGCGGCGCCGGAGTGAGCTGGGCGAGAGGCCTGGGGTCCAGGCCCCCCGTGGGGAAGGTCCCGCAGCGCGCAGGGGTCAGGGGCAGGGCAGGGCTGGGCTGGCCCCGAGCGCCTGGAGCACCTCGCCTGCCCGCGCTGGTGCCCAGCTGGGGCGGGCGTGTCTGTGTCAGCCCGGGGCTCCAGGCTTGACTGGGGGGGCGGCAGAGTCCGCGAGTGGGGAAGTCCTCCGTGGCCGGGCGCCTGGAGGGAGACCAGGTCCCAAGGACCCATCATCCCTCCCTGCCAGGATTCTGCCTGCGCACAGCTGGCTTGGTCCCCGCAGTCCCTCCAGCTGACCTCACCAGCCTCAGAGAGCTCTGTCAAGTGGCCCTGGGGCCCAGTGACTCCTCTAGGGAGTCTGGGGGCAACCGGCCGGGAGGAAGAGGAAGGAGGCCCCAGAGGTGGGGAGTCTGGCCTGACTTCCCCCTGTTCGTTCAGATGCGGAGCTGACCGCAGAGTTCTGTGTCCACTGGTGCTAGTGGTGTCTGAGTTCTCCCGTGGTCACCCCCTCGTGTGCGGCCAGGAGCAGGAGTCCCCTGGCCCCAGGCTTAGCTGGAAAGGCACAGCCCTGAGCCAGGCCCTGCCGCCACCCCAGCGCAGGGACTGGTGAGGACCCGCGTGGCCTCCAGGCTCAAGGACATTTGGGGATGAAGGTTAAGTGGGCGCAAGCCCCCCACCTAAGAGGAGCACCGGGAAGGCGCTGGCGGCCGTGGACAGCTGGTTGTTGGTGGGTCGGGAACATGGTGCGTTTCAGTGGTGACAATCTGTATCTCATCCTCTGGCCATGGGGTCCGCTCTGCGCTCTCTGCTCCCTCTGACTGTCCAGCCCACACTGTCCCCCTGGGCCATGCGCAGACCAGCCTCTGCCCCCTGGGTACTTCTCCTGGGGAGTGAATGTCTCCCACACTCCACATTTCCTTGTGGTGGCTCCTGGCTCTCATTCTGCCCTGGGGGGTGGATGTCTGGGTGTTTGCTGGAATCTGTGGCCAGGAGGCACCGGAACCCCTCAGGAAGCGGGAGGCTGGGGCGCGTCTGTTGGCCGGGCGGGGGTGTGTTCAGTGGGCGCTGTCCATCGGACCGGCCGAGGAGGGAGGCAGGTGTTCAGCACGTCTGCTGGGGGCCTGGAGACCGTGCTGGGCTCCCGCCCCACACGGCCGGCTGAGCCCACAAACAGAAGCACATTTGCTGAGTGGGACTAGACACCCCCAGGGCCCCTTGAGGAGGCCTGGGGAGCCGTGAGGGGCCTGGGGAAGCTGCTGTTCATTCCGTTCTTGGCCTCGGCTCTGCAGTGTCCGCCGTGATTCACTCTAAGGATGAAACGCTCTCCTTGGGCGTCCCAGCAGGAACAGGGTTGCACTGTCTCCAGCCTTCCTTGGACTCCCCTGGCCTGCTCTGTCCCCAGATCCTCCCACGGGGAGCCACTCAGCCCTCTGGCCTGACCCTCCTTCCCCTTTATATCTCTGCCTCTGGGACTCCTACTTAAACCTCAAAACCCTCTTCAAATGCTCCCCTCTCCTCAAATCCCCAGACCTAGGAAAAGCCTCTGCCTTTCTTTCTTTCTTTCTTTCTTTTTTTTTTTGTTTTTGGGTCACACCTGGCGATGCACAGGAATTACTCCTGTTTTTATTTATTTATTTATTTATTTGAATCACATCCGGCGATGCACAGGGGTTACTCCTGGCTTTGCACTCAGGAATTACTCCTGGCAGTGCTCAGGGGACCATATGGGATGCTGGGAATCGAACCCGGGTCGGCCGAATGCAAAGCAAGCGCCCTACCCGCTGTACTATCACTCCTGCCCCATTTTTTTTTTTTTTGGCTTTAGCCTCTGCCTTTCTGCCTGCCCCAGACTGTGCAGGCTCTGTCCCACCTTCCTGACCAGTAAATAGTGCCGGTGTGTCCTGGGTTGGGGCGTCCCCGTGCCCCTGTGCCCCTGTCCTTAGCAGAGAGCAGTCAGCCCTACTTGTCTTCCCGTGACCGAGGTTCAGACCCAGCCCAAGGTACTCAGCAAACCACGGCCGTGATTCCCGAGAGGGACCAGTGGAGTTTTGGGGAATAAATGGGCAGTCGACCCCCAGCAGGAGATGCCCAGGTGCCAGCCAGACTCTCGGGGGCTCCCTGGGTCGCTCTGCTGCTGGTGCCCTCAACTGAATGGGGTGACGAGATTTCATGTGAGCATTTGTCCCCTAATGTGACCGCTGTGTCCAGCCTGGATCCGGCCTTCCACGCCCCGGGCTCTCTCTTGTGTTCGGACGGTCTGGGGCACCCTGTGCGGGTCTCCACAACTCCACCTGGGCTGGCCAGTGGCCACAGCAGTCGAGAGACTCTGGGGGATGCAGCTGGGGTCAGAGGACAGCTTCCAGGCCAGGGGACGTCTCCCCAGCCCCCAGCCCCAAACCCAACGCTCTACTCCCCGCTTTTCTTACCTCCCCAGAGAACCAGAACCTTCCTGGCCATGGGCCGACAGTGAGAGCCCGTCCACGGCCGGTCGGGGGGTGTCGTTCATTCTAGACTCTAGACCCACCGCTCCACTGCCCGGCGCCCGGGCCTGTGCCCTTGAACCCGGCTGCCGCAGCCCTGCACCAGGTACGGATGGCCGCTGACCGGTGCCTTGGGCACGCTTTGGGTCTGGACACCGACCGGCACACCCTCTGCCCGGGGAGGCTTGCCTTCCCATGGCCTCATCTCGGATGCGTTTCCCCCCAGAGGAGCTGGGACATCTTCCCCATGATGGGGCTTCACCTCAGGGCCTCCCTGAGCCTGCGGGCCTGCAGGAGGGGCCCAGGGCGGGTCGCTCTGCCCAGGCTGGGGGCAATTGCCAAGCCAACTTCCTTTGCTCCCCGTCTCGCGGCTGTGCCCCAAACCTCATCTGCCCAGGTCTGCCCCGTCCAGGTGCTGTGCAGGGTTTGATGTGGTTCGCCACCTCTTTGAACCCGCCCCCGGGCGCGGGGCCAGCGAGGTGGGCCTCCCGCCTTTCAACTCCCCGCTACTTCAAAGGGGCTGATGAAGCTTATGAAATAAAAAAAAAATAATAACAATAAGTTTCAGAAATACACATACGCAGAGCCTTTCATGCTGACTCCCAAGGACGTAGGATCCCAATGAGTATTCCCAAGGGCCGTCTTATTTGAAAGCCGGCTTCAAACACAGCCAGGGCTGCCTGCAGCGGGAAGTTGGCGTGGCTCAAAGGGCCGGCGTACGCGCTGTGCTTGGGGGGGTCTGGGGCGCTCGCCCCAGTGCTCGTGCTAGTGAGCCCCGAGTTCCCTGGGGTGACCCGAAAACAGCCATGCTTGAGGGTCAGGAGCCCATGGAGGTGTGTGGGGTGAAGGTACACATAGGGACCGTGGTGGGGAGCAGGTATGCATGTGAGACCCCTGATGGGGTGCAGGTGCTGCCTTTTCTGGGGAGCCCCAGGCTCCATCCTGACCTTGGGGAGGCTGGAGGAGGAACACCCTACTGGTGTGAGCAGTTCAGCGTGCTGTGACGTTTGTGCGTTGGGAAGGTACTTCAAGGGAGAGGCCGTGGGCCCTGGCTCCAGCCCTGCTCCATGGGGTGCTCAGTTCCAGAAGGTTCCAGCCAGTGCTGACCCAGACAGGTGCTCTCTGCAAGCACGAGGATGCTGGCCAGGACTGGAGGGGGTGTGGGGGTGCTCGTGACGGGGGCAGCACGGAGAGACCCCACGGCCCGACCTCCTGGATGCCTGAGGGTTCGAGCGCAGATGCTGGGCCTTCAGTGGGGTGTGGCGGTCAGCGCAGGTGCCCAGCTCTGGCCATGATGGGGATCGTGACTTGCTGTGCTCCGGCAGGCTTGGCGTGGGGTTGAACTGGGGGGGATGGGGGAAGGAGTGAAGAGAACCTAGGAGGGCCCCGGAGTCTCAGGGCGACTGGACGGGGCAGACCTGAGATGTGCCCAGCGCCGTGGCCACCTTTGCTCTGACCTTCTGTGTGTCCATTCGCGGCTGTGGTGCTCACGTGCTGGTGCTCCCGCCTCTCCCTGGACGGTGTTTCAGTTTCTGTTCAGGGAGACTAACCCGTTCCCTGTCCTCCTTCACCAAGAGTTCTGAAGTGTCCAGCGCTGGACCCGGCCCATCTTTGGTCTTCATGCTGTGCTGGCCCTCCCTGGGGGTCTGGGAATCCCCCGCTGTCTCTGTGGTCAGCTTCTTGGGGGGGGCTGTCGCCTTCATCCTGCAGACTTTGCAGATCCGGCCCCAACTGTGCCCTGCTCCAGGCCCCCTGTGGGTGCGAGTGGGGCTGGACAGGGCGCACGTCCCTCCTGAAGCTCCGGGACCCCCAGCCCCGCCTCACTCACGGTGCAGGGCAGCGCCCGATGGGCCACCCCGAGCAGCTGAGCGGGTGGACGCTGCGTCCTGTGTCTACATGCGAGGCTGGAGCACTCGCTCTGCACATGCAGCCCGAGGTTCAGTGCTGTCTCCCAGGCCAGTCGGAGATCATCAGCCCCCCCATGCCGCCAGGTGGGACCCCGAAACCCAGGAACCCCCAGGACAAAGGCA